AAATGAAAGGACAAAGGCACTTGTGAAACAAACAGAAAAAGGATTGATAAAGTGAAGAAAGGACTCACCAAGGAGCTGCTTCGTTTATAGCTGTAATAAAGTGTCAGCTAATTACTTTCTATTAACACACCGTGCAGTTCTCTAGGCTGCAGGGCAAAGGCCAATCAGCCTGTTCTCACCCCGGAGGACAGACACACACACACACACACACACATATAATTATAACGCAATTCAGTGCTGGTCAGTATATCCAGCAGCTGAGAGCAGCTCAGAGAATGTGTTGTGTGTTAGGTAAGGTGCCTTCTTGTTGACAGAGAAGTCAATGAATCCCCACTTGTTCAAAACAAGTCAGCCCTTTGTTGGATCTGGTGTAACTGAAGATGATTTTCTGCTTTTAAAGCGGGCTGGGAGGGCGGTGTGTGTGTGTGTGTGTGTGTGTGTGTGTGTGTGTGTGTGTGTGTGTGTGGTGTTGGGGGGGGGGGGGCTCTCTCCACACATTAACCAGCACAGGCTAATGAGCCCATAAAAAACATAGACAATGCTAAGAGGGATGAGTGAGCCTCTTTCACTCCCAAACAAGAGCAGTCAACGTCTGTTACTAATATGGGAGATAATAAAACATGAGTTTGAGTGACAGCTGTATTTTTTTACCCTCTGATGTCAGGGATTCTTTAAAAGTAAAGGCCGTGACCTACAGCGTTATATAGAGTGTTTTAGCTATAGTTTTAGATTTCTGAGCAGTGTTAGGTTACTTGAAAAATATGATAAATGACATTATATATTGCTCATTTAAAAAGTCATTACATTATTTTACTAATAACTCAACAGAAAAAGTAGTTGTTATATTACTCCTAACTTTACTTTCTGTATCCAGTTCCATCAAAAGTGTCTTTGAAACAACTTGAAATCTGCGACTCCCACATGTTATGCATTTAAGTGGTGCAGAAAAACAATATGTTTATGGTAACAAGCAGCCAGCCCATGGTTCTGCAGGTACTTATTGACCATCAACGGCTACCTTAACATTAGCCACAGTGACTGCATGCAAGTCCCTCACCCTCCAGTTGTGAACTAAAACAGATGAGTCCTGACTGTAGTGCTGCACATGGTTTCCGTTAGAAAGTCAGCTAAGAAGGTGCAACATGTAAGTCAACTTTGGATTTGTTTGGATGCACATTTCTTTTGGCGTTGGCTAACAGCATCCGCACACCTAGCATAAAACACACGTAATAAAACGCACTGATTTACACAGCGAACAAGCCAATCCCCAAATTACTGAAAAGAATTATGACTCTTCTGTGACAGATTACAAAGTCATTCCCACTGCCATCAGGCTATACAACACCTCACACAAAGGAAGTGGGCTAATCTAATTATTATTGTTTATTTATTATCAACTGTTATTATTATTATTATTATTATCAACAATGAGCTAATTACAACCAAACACTGTTCTGGGAGACATAAAACTGAAGTCTTACTGCCAGAAGATATACTGTCTGTCAAAACGTTTCAAAGCTCTATCGGAGATTTTTAGTGCCAGCTGTCTTTGTGTATTTACAGTAAAGGGTTATATTACTATTAAAATATCATTTAAACTGTAAATCAATATTAGGTTTTCTTCCCATTGTATATTTTGCCCAAACTCTCTATTGCATACTTGTAAATATTCCTTTTTTTATGTGGAATTTCATGCTTTTTTAAGAATTTCATGTAATGAAACTCGTTAACGTAACGATCCTGAAAAGTGAAGCTCCCTCTCTCTTCGTTATAGACCAGCGTTACTGAGTCATGTAGGGCTTCAGTGTTCGACGTCTGTTGCCTCGGGGGCTTGAACATGAGCCAGAACACTGTCTCCCTACTCACAAGGCTCATGGACTGCTCCTCACATCTTAGGCATGATACTGTGATAGCTTTGCCATCACATGGCATGTAGAGCATTTCACAGTTTCAAACATGAACATAGCTGCGAACAGCAGGGAAAGAAAGCACCCACGTCAAAATGGTGACAATGTTGTTGGGGAACTAAAAGGCTGTGAGGGAAACTCTGTGATGAGCGATAGGATATACATTTTCTATGAATCCCCAAAACAAGAGGAATAAATAAACTGACGTACGTACACATACACTGTAATGTTTAAGTGAGAGTGGAAATGATCTGCATCCAGCTGATGGTCCTTATACCATAAATACATATCCAAGAAGCCAAATATAGAAACACAACACACTCTTATACATAATTTACATATGATTCTTACATGGCACAAAAAAGTGCCCAAGTCATGAGATTGCGTGTCATGTGACTATTATCAGTCAAGAACTAGAATTACCACCTTATGGATGTAGGCCTCCGTCAACCAGTAAAGATTGTTAGTATTCGACCAAACGTGAAATATGGTCACGACCTCCCCGTGTGCTCTTCAGTTATGGAGTTAATCAGTGGCCAGAAAAGTGTTTTTTTGCAGAACATCATGATGTCACAGTGAGGTTGACCTTGGACTTTTTACTTTGTCATTTTATCCTATCAGAGATTTGTGTGAAATTTTGTCATAATTACCGAACTCTTGAGTTATGAGTCACATGATTTGTGAGGTCACCGTGACCTTGACCTTTGATCATCAAATTCTGATCAGCTCATCCTTGAGTCCGAGTGGATGTTTGTGCCAGGTGTTCACGAGAATGGGACGGACAGATTGATGGACTGACGGACAGGCAGGGCGACCTGAAAACATAACACCTCCAGCCCCAGGTGTCACCGGCATGGAGGCATAAAAGAGCACGAGCCCATCTTAATATTCTAGCATCCAACCTAATCAATTATCTAAACAATAGTTCGATATTGACCTTGGAAATAGTTTGACAAAAAATTCCACGACAAATTGCTGGAAATTTTCTGGAGCTTTCAGAATTCATGTCATGGCGCTCATCAGCGGACGGGGTTTGGAGATGGAAACAAAGTGGGTACTGGATCACTTCTGTGACCACTCACAGATAATCCTCTCGGCTCTGATAGTAAAGCAGGCTAGGTTGTTTTAGTTACTCAACCTTAACAAAGATAAGAATTTGTTCTTATGAACCCTCTTTTCTCGAGTGCACATGCAGTAGACAAAGAGTAGAAAAAACAGTCTACCTAATACAGATTCTTAAGGCTCCGCTGAGATGGCAATCTATCAAACAGAGAGCACATCTGGTGCTGATGGTTGTCTGGCCTGTAACTCTTCCCAGAAAAGTATGAGCCTCACAGGGAGGATCAACACCGGGCCAATACAGGTGTGGTCAACCACATTCATTTTAGCACAACAGCCTAAATATCTTAAAGCAAACAAGAGACTCGCCAAAAGACTGGATCTATATGTGATTGGAAAATTGCTTTTAAGTGAAGAGTGGAAGAAGTGAGAGGAGGAGATAAATCACTTCTAACATTTTCATCCCTGTCAGTAAATACAAAGAGAGAAAACAAACACACATGGGATGACACTGAGGTGAGGAGGGTGATGGAAACACGGCAGCATCCCCTCTGTGACACGAAGCGAAGGGTTTAACTGTGAGTGCGGTTTTAATTTTATGAGGTGCTAACTATACCACTGATTTGATACAGAAGCTAGACGCCATTTTCACTGTCTCGCCTGTAAATTAAACCAAAGTACCAATGTGATGTATATGTTCATGTTTAACAATGCGACTTACGGTATGTTTTCAAGTACCAAACAATCCGTGATCCACAAAATAAGCACTGGCACATTCAGGAAGATATTTTTTTTATTTGTTTTTAGTAGTAGCATGGTTCTGAAGAAGGCAATGTTGGGCGGTCGGTCCAACACTTTGGTTCAGGCCGAAATATCTTGACAAATATTGGATGGAATACCGTGAAATACCAATAACTTTGGTAATCTCTTGATTTAACCTCTAGCACCACAATGAGGTTGTTTTTTTTAATGATTTATTGCAACAACTATTGGATGGACTGCCATGAAATTTAGAACAAACATTCATCCTCCTCAAGTTGAATTGCGATTGTGACTTTTCATCCAGCAAAATTTCACTCTGTCCAATAATTTATGGCCAAATGCCAAAAAATGTAATACAATAAAAGTAATAGTGTCAGATTTACCTTGTGCTTAGTGCTAATTGGCAAATGTTAACATGCTAACACGCTGCAAGGTGGTTGGTGAGCGCACTTAACATTATACCTACTAAACATCAGCACGTTAGCCTTGCGACGGTGACCGTGTTAGCATGCTAACGTTAGCATTTAGCTTCAGCACTGCAAAGACACAGCTGCTAGAACGGCAGAAGACTCTTGTTGAAGGATTCAAGATGCAATGATCTTTGCATCTACAAGTTCATTTGATAAATTATCAGTAAAAATAAATGTAATAACATTGTTACTGTATTTTCTAAAACATTCAACACTCTTTTTCAAACACTGTCTTTTAGTCTTAATTCTTTAATCAAGTTTGGCAGCTAAAAAGTTGGATGCAGAAGGGACTAATGTCTCCTGCATGTTTCTTGGTGTGGTTTCTCATTGCAGCGAGTATCAGCAGGACAAACATGGTGCAGTTATCTACAATTTGACAGTATATTGACAAGCCTGATAAAGTCCAAGTGATAGAATTGTTGTGGCTGTAGATTAAAGGAAATGGTTCAATATCACATACACTGGTACTGGTAACAGGGTTTTGTTTGACTATTTACTTAAGAGAACAATAGTGGGATAAAAGTGAAATATTTTAACACCGCATAGAAATATGGATGATGTCACTGGGGGATAAAATATAGCATAAATGAAATACCTCTGAGTACCAATAACACACAATTACTCTGTATGACCTGATTTATGACTTGACCCTGTTTCCTCCATTAAAATGAAGGCAATTTGATAAATGCTAAATAACTTGTGAACTTCCTGCCTGCCTCCCTCCGTGTCCCTCCACCCCCTCTTCTACATAAAAAGAGGAGGGGTTGGAGGACAGGGATCAACTCGGCAGACTCTTGAGACTGTGTACACTGAGACTCAGCAGCCAGTACAGCAGAGGACTTAACCACCAGAAGAGCTGACTGGAGCTTCTGGATCTCAGATCTGGAGGTTTTTTTTTTTTTACTTTGACACCAGTGACAGAGAGGACTGCTGCTGTTGGAGATGACTGGACTGTCACTGCAGGAACAGGAACAGCATCCCTCCGCTTTGGGAACTTTTCTCTGTCCTGAAAGCTTGATAGTTACTGGGGGACGTTTGATCTAAGACGCACAAACATTGGAAAATTTCTACCTCAGTCAGGAGTTAGGTAAGTACGAATATAAACTGTGGTGAACTTTTATTGGTGGATTTAGGGACTGTATGAAAATCATTGTGTTGGTGAGCTGGGTCTCACTTCAGAAAGGCCCTTCCAGGGTTATTAATTAATTAAACTACTACAACCTGTTGCTTAGTATCTTAATGTAACTTCTAATGTACAACAACAATGTTAACATCAATAAACCACCGAAGTGTTGCCCTCCGAATGTAGAAACGTGTACCCTCATAAACCATGAAAAAAACCAAGTCAAAGTTATCTTTCCAATGTAACTTTAAAGTATATTGCAAAGAAAGGTTGAAATAATAAAAATAAAAGACCCTCCCTTGCTTTCCCAAAAAGTAAGACTACCCTATTTTCAGCCAAAAGATCATTTCTAATACCTTCCCCCTTTTCAAACTCATCCTCTAATAGTTTTTGTACAGTCCCTGAATTAAAAATAATTATGATGTTACTGGAGGGTTGGTTTGTAGATCTTAATTGTAAGTTTTTATTGAGTTTACAGTGAAAAGACGTGACAGTTGCGAGTCACATAATAAGTCCTGGAGCCTAATATCCCTACCAGACAGAGCGGCTGTTTGATTTCACATGGTGAAATAATATTCCCGTTAACAGACTTTCTTGGACTTTGTGTTCCAGGTGCATTGAAAGGAAGATCTATTGCAGCCCTGTTGAATAAAAGCCATATTCAAAACAAACTCCAGGATGAAGACTCATCTCCTCTGCTTGGAGTTACTCCTCTTGGCGGGTCACATCCTTGTGGCCAGTGGGCAGCTGGAGCCAAAGAAACAAGTGCCCCAGGAGCCTCTTACTGTCACCCAGAGACCTGGGCTCGTAGAGAGGGATGTGCAGGGTCCAGTGAGGTCTAACATCACCATGCCCCGCCGCCGGCTACCTCCCATGTGCACCGGACCCACAGAAATCCGTGACACCTTTAAGTACATTAACACGGTGGTGTCCTGCCTGGTGTTTGTTGTTGGTATTATTGGCAATTCCACTCTTCTGAGGATCATCTATAAGAATAAGTGCATGCGTAACGGGCCAAACATCCTGATCGCCAGCCTGGCGCTTGGAGACCTGCTGCACATCATTATTGGCATTCCCATTAATGTTTACAAGGTAGGTCAAGGTGCCTACACCCTATAGCCTATACCATACAGACCAACAGGTTTATAATGACATTATTTTTACTTTCAGTGAATTCAAAACTCCCTTACCATTTTTTGTTGCACTCTTATTGTGTGTAATATCCTTCTTAAGTTTATTAAAATAACTTTCTAGGGGTATATGCAAATATTTTGCTGCATATTGGACTTTAAACCTTCAACACACACACAGATACAAGAGCACACACATACACACTCTTCTGAGTAGAGGGCTTCCAAGTATTTTTTACATGTTATTACTTTACTGGAGTCTGAGCCCCTCTAGATCCCCTTGTGTCTCTGGCATGTTATTATCTGTTAGGCTCGTTTTGTGTGTGTGTGTGTGTGTGTGTGTGGGTGCGTGTGTGTGTGAGAGAGAGAGTTAGAGAGAAAGAAAGAGGACTAAAGTATCTGTATATTTGGGTAAGGGGGCAAGCATGTTAAAACAACTGGTCGTGGTTGCATACCAGAGCAGAGACAGGAGAGACAGGGTGGTATGGGGAAACACAGGGCCACATGTGATTCCTAAAGATCTGCACTCACATTCCAGACGCCCATCTGAGGCAGACAGAAAAGGTCCCATATTGTACAGGGTTAGCAGTGTTTTTGTTGTTCTCCACATGTTACCTAAGCTACTGTATCTCCCTGGGTTACAGGTCAAACAGAGCCCTCACTGTGTTTGTAAGAAAAGACTAAAACATTAAACCTGAAAACAAAGCAAAATAAAAAACAAATTTCTGGATGTTCACAGACACAAATAAGTTCAGGGTCACGCTTACATGGTCTGTGGCTGGGAAAAACAACATGGAGCCAGACAATTTGCTTCACTCTTTACCATGGTTCATCTGTGTCTGTCCCTGTCTCTCTCCAGCTCCTCGCAGAAGACTGGCCGTTCGGGGTGACTCTGTGCAAGCTGGTGCCGTTTGTCCAGAAAGCGTCAGTGGGGATCACAGTGCTGAGTCTGTGCGCTTTGAGTATTGACAGGTAAACCCAACCGCAAACAGTGGGGGGGGGGGGGGGGGGGGGGGGGGGGGGTGTCTCAGGTGGTACAGTGGTTGTCTAATAATTGGAAGGTTCCCAGGTTGATGCCTAACTGCTCCTGACGCTGTGCCATCAGTGTGTGAATGTGTGTGTGAGTGGGTGAATGCAACATACACCGTAACGACCCAAACTCACCCCTCCTCTCATGTGGACACAACTAGAGTCAGCGATTACACAAACGTTGTCACACTTGACTTTTGACCTGACCTTTGACGTCCTCACTGCTGGCTGCTTTTAACTTTGATGATCTGTGAATGGACACTTATTCTACTGTCGACTACACCCTGAGCTTGGAATTCAAATTTGTTTTCATACTTACCATCTTCAGATCTTGTATTATGTGGTGCTAATGTATAGCGTATCGAGTACGTTTTCAAAAAAGCTCAAATGTACGTTTCAGTTTTATCGTTAAGGATAAAAGATGTGTAATACTCCATCTTAGACATTATATCTGTTAAACTTACACTTTAAGATGAAATTAGCAAAAGGAATAGTTTGACATTTTGGAAAATTAGCTTATGGTTTCTGTGGTGAAACAAGAAGATCAATACCACTGTTGTGTCTGTATGGTAAATACAATATGGATTGTGAACGTATTGCACTTGGATCTTCCAGGTATCGTGCCGTGGCGTCGTGGAGCCGTATCAAAGGGATTGGAGTTCCTAAGTGGATGGCTACTGAGATAGTGCTCATATGGATATTATCCATCATCCTGGCTGTGCCAGAGGCAATAGCCTTCGACATGATCACCATGGACTACAAAGGAGAACAGTTGAGGATCTGTTTGCTGCACCCCATGCAGAAAACTGACTTTATGAGGGTGAGTTGAAACACATGGACCGTCAGAGGCCAATAAGTTTCAGTTTTAGCCAGTTTCAGTTTTGTTTTATAATCTTAATAATCTTCTTCTTTATTATTTTTGTCATATAGTCAAACATAATTTTGGCACTGGTAGTAAACAATATAGAATATAAGATTTAATAAAAAGTAAACAGAGATGGAATGAGATATAAGTTTTTATTTATAAAAGTAAATCATACTGGGAATTTAGCAGCCCTAGTTCAATGGTCATGGCAGACAGTGCAGACAAGCAGGAAAGCAAATATGCAATGTGGAATATTTAGATATAGGAGTTGAGAAGCCTCATGGCCTGATGGTAATAACTGTCATGGAGTCAGGTGGTACGTGCTTCACATGATTAAGTGTGGAAAAAAACAGCACGTGTTGATACAGCTGGTCATGCTGCAAACCTGCACATACGGCATAATACATGCTGACTCAAACAGATGGATGCAGATGTGCATTCTGGTGCACATGCTGAATCTTGAGTGAATATATGTACCTACACAAAAGCACGTACGCACACAGTCATACTGCGAAAGCTTCCAGACCAGATCAGGGTTAAAAAGAGTTTACAGAAAATGAAGCATTGGCGAAAAAAGAAAAAGAAAAACAGTATATCACAAGAGTTATTGCGCAACATACTGCAGTGTTCGTGAATGTGTGTGTGTTCATGTGTCTTCCATTTGCCTTAAAATAACAACAATGAACAGTTTTAATTCCACGGAGGTACCTTTGATAAATGGATTTTTAACGTAAGTCAACAAGACTGAATCTGAGACACACCCTCGGGTCCCCCCCGCTCCGCTGTCAGACAGCACACACGCTACATTAAATTTATTTCTGACAAGTTTAACCTTTAATCCAAGCTGTCAAGTACAGATGTTTGTGCATATTCCAATGCAGTTCTCCTGTTTTCTCTCTGTAGTTTTATAAATCAGCAAAGGACTGGTGGCTGTTCAGCGCATATTTCTGCCTACCGTTGGCCTGCACTGCTATTTTCTACACCCTGATGACCTGCGAGATGCTGAGGAAGAAGAACGGAGTCCAGATCGCCCTGAGTGATCACCTCAAACAGGTTTGATGATGGCATTTATTTTATTTGGCCAATCTGTTTTTTATATTGAAGGTTTATAATTAAAGCATTAGACTAATTACCAAAACTATTGACAGAAAAGCTAAGACAAATACAGTGAAGTCATGCCTTTAAAGCGCTCACCTTCCTGCAATCTGACTTCAGACTTTTTGACATTTAATTTATGATCATAAATCTTTCAGCTATCAAAAAATAAAAGAAGTTTCAATTGATATAAGACTGCTTTGCTTTTGCCAGAATTTCACCACAGCTATTTCAGTGCCAAGCTGTCAAAACAATCTGTTACTACACAATGATTTATGGGTGTTTTCGTGTTCAGCGGAGGGAGGTGGCAAAGACAGTGTTCTGCTTGGTTCTGGTCTTTGCTCTGTGCTGGCTGCCGCTCCACCTCAGTCGTATCCTGAAGCTGACCATCTACGATGAGAAAGACCCAAACCGCTGTGAACTGCTCAGGTATGGAATAAAATACATTTCCCATTGTGTTCAAAAAAAGCACGATAAAAGGAAAACTGAATCACCCTCCAGAATGGAAGACTGATGTGTCTTTCTAACCCTTTTAGTTTCTTTTTGGTGTTGGACTACATCGGCATCAACATGGCATCTGTCAACTCCTGTATCAACCCCATCGCCCTCTACATGGTCAGCAAGCGCTTCAAGAACTGCTTCAGGGTAAGTAGCTCAGCTGCAATGTATGCTACATGCAAAGCGAAAACGTCTTAAAGAAATAGTTTGACATTTTGGGAAATATGTCTATCCGTGTTCTTGCTGAGTGTTAAATGAGAAGATTGATACCACTCTCATGTTTGTATGTAGCCAATGCTAGCAGCTCGCTAGCTTAGCTTGACATAAAGATGGACAGAAACAGCTAGCCTAGCGCTTTTCTGCTTAACAGTATCTTTAAAGCTTGACAAATAAACCTACATATCATATCTTTTTCATCCAATTCTTGACAAGAAAGCGAATAAGTGTATTCCCTTGAAATATTGATCTGAGTTGAGTTTGTCTTCTTTCTTTCACCAAGCTGTTAATACTGTCACACTCTTATCTCTGAGCCTACTCCTTACAGTCTTTCTTAACACTTCTTTCCTGCTCTAGTCCTGCCTGTGCTGCTGGTGTCTACCGGCTGAGATGTTGATGGATGAAAAGCAGTCATGCATGAAGCTGAAGGTCACCGAACGACCCTCCGACCAGAGCAACTCCCGCATGACCAACAAATCTACTACTACAGCCTGAGGAGAGGACTGGAAGCGAGAAAAGAGGAGCTATGATGACAAAAACCAAAATATTGAAGTATGGCTGACTGAATGTGAATAAGTGCCCATTCTTGCCTCATCTACAACATCATATGAAGTCTCCCTCATCTCCTAACAGACGTCCCCTTGCCAATATGGGGTGCTGAACACTCTCCATGTCCGAGAAGAAAAAAAAAGTATCAGTGCACTTCAAAAAACTGTATTCTTGGATAACAAGTTCGAGACGTGTGAAGCGGAAAACCCGGTGTTAATAACACCAAATATCGAGAGCTGAGCTCGGGGCGAAGTTCTGCACAAGTGTTATGTAAAATTAGTGAATTAGCGACAGCTCATCTGGCTCGCAGCCTGGATAGTGAATGATACTTTGATGCTATGAATCTTGCGATAAGTTCTGCATTGCATATTATATTGTATTATTGTATATATTATGACTATATTCGAGTGTGATGCTGTGTTATGAATTGCTACCACACACTGCAGCAGCTTGGAAAAAGTTAAACAATGAATTTAATGCTCTTTTGTTTTGGTTTTTTTGTACGTATTTCCTTTGAAGTATATGTTTGTACTGAGCATTTTGCATACTTTATCATCCGTCACATTAGTGCCTTTATATGTATTGTCCGTGTGTCATTTTCCCACTAGTTACTGAACTACTGATGTTGTTTGTTTAAAGGTTGTGTGACCATTCAGCTATTGTATTATACTGTTCAATATCGGGCCTGTTCATGAGGCTTTATGTGTTTTGTGACTGTATTTGCTCAACATTATCTTAAGCCGACTTGTACCTCAGCTGGTATGTCAAGAGGTAGAGTTTCTTTTTGCAATAAATACAATATTAAATATAATAAATTAGAAACTAGTCAGTTATGTACCTCTCTTTAAAAAAAAGCATCAATTTTCTAGCCATTATCTGTTCAGAGACACAGTCACAACCATTTCTGACTGTCAATCTTTTAGCTTTGCCTGTTATTGTGGCCTGACTTTGTGCGTGCGTGTGTGTTTGTGTGTATTTGTGTGTGTGGTTTTGATTTAAGTGTGACTTCAGGCGGCATCATGTGATGGTGAATGCTAACACAGAACATTACTGTGATCTCTTTATTTTTCTCCCCACACACACACACACACACACACACACACACACACACACACACACACACACACACACACACACACACACACACACACACACACACACACACACACACACACAGCCCTGACCTGGGAATGTTCCCTCAGGCTAAACCAGTGTCATGCATGTCACATTAGCTGTGAAAGAAGCTCTCTGTCCTGTGATCTCTCACCACCCCTCCTTGACTTAACTCTTCATCCGCTCTCCTTGCCTTCACTCTCTCTTCTTTTTCTGCATGTTTTTCCCTGCTTTTTCTTTTTGTTTTTTTACGTCTTCTCTTTCCTCTACCCTTGTTTCCCTAACCCTATCTTTCTGCATTCCTGTCTCCACTCCACCCCATAACCCCTCTGCCTCTGTTCTTCCAATATGGTTTCAAACAATTCAGTGTGGTTTGACATTAAATCAAACCCACCGGTGGTGTAATCGGCCCTAACTGAAAGAAAATCACATTCAGTACATTCCTCCCTAAATTATCTCCTTTTCTACTCCCAACGGAGACTGAACTGATGTATCTGCTTGTGGATACTGGCACTGGCCCCTCCAATGATACGACGCATTGTCCTTAAAGATCACTGCGACTAAAAAAATCAGTCACAAAAAGTTGCAAAGAAAGTGAATGTTGTTCTGTGTGTTACTTATTACTGTCTATAAATCAAAGCGTAATTAGCTCAAGTTCAATTCAGTATGTCACATTTAACTCTACAAAACTCGTGTTGGAAATTAAAATCATTTATTTGCCATGCCAAGCGTGATTTATAGTTATTTACGTGGCAGTAAGAGCAGCAGTAATCTATCACAGACTTTATGCTAACACTGAAAAGATTCAGTGGGTTAACCTGGAGCTACTTGTAAGTTTTCTCTGCTCCTGAACGTGGTTTTCTGCGTGGAGCGGGCGGTGGTGATTGTCGCTTGACAAGAGCTTTGTCCTCTGAGCAACGCTACGTCTTCAGGACAGATTGGAGGCTAAAACGAGCCGCTATCGGAAAGAGGCAAGATGGGCCGGGGCTAGCTGGTTAGCATGCTAACTTCAGTAGAAGGACAGACGCGATAGAGACAAGAGTCAACATTGGCATTCCTTTCCACTGCTAGAGACAGCTCTTAGCGGGTAAAGGAATTACATTTGATGATGAACTCCAACGTTTCCTCTAGACTGAGTAAAGTAAACAGCTGTTAGTGCAGGAAGAGAAGCTATTTGTAAGTTTTCCTATTGCTACATAGCCAGCTGTTTACTTACCAGTCTTGGAAAGAGCGTCATTGTAGCATTTACAAGACAAGAGGTTATAATAAACCCTCCGAGCAGCACTACTTCTTCAGGGCAGACTGGAAAGTATTGGGAGAAGTATTGGAGACAGTCAAACTGGGCCAGGGCTAGCTGGTTAGCATGCTAACTTCAGCTGAAGAAAAGACGTGATAGAAATAGAAGAAAAACAAGAGAGATTCTTTCCATTGCTGGAGACAACTCTTGGTGAGTAAAGGAATGAAGTTTGATGCTGAACTTGCAACATTTCTACTAGACTGGTCAGTAAAGAGCTGTTTTAAGCTAACGTTGGCTATGTAGCAATAGCAAAGACTTACAAATAGCTTCTTTACAGGAATGGTTTAACACTTTGGGAAATACATGTATTTGCTTTCTTTATGAGAGATCAGCTGATTATCTTAGCATAAATACTGCATTAAAAGGGGAACAGCTGGCCTGAGGGTAACAAAATCTACCTATGTAGTTCCAGTGCTAAGCTAAGCTAACGGGCTGCAGGTGTTAGCTTCATATTAATCATATGGACATGAGAGTGGTATAGAAATCTTGACAAGTTACTCTGAATATTGTAATGATGGAAACAGACTGAAAGCAGGGGGAAACAGATAGCCTGGCTCTGTCCAAAGCTCTTCTCAAGGAACTCTCAGCTAGAAAACAAATAAGCAGATTCCCCCAAATATGTGCGTAAATACAGACAAGATTCAGTTTAGGTCTCTCATCCATTTCTATCTAAACTTCAAGACATTAATGGAGGACTTAATGGAGAAGTAAAACTCTCCACGGTTCACTCACAACTAACATAATAATACAGCAGTCTATTGTACAGTTAATGTCACCTTTTATTGCTATTAGGAGCCAGAAAATGAAGATAAAACTTGAAGCAGATGGATGCCAAAAGGTTAATGAGAGAAAGTTCGCCGTTTAGTAATAAAAACTACTCTAAACCTTTGATGGATTCATCATGTGAGCTTGGCTGAGAGCTTCTTTTCACTCAACAAACATAGTGGACTTTTCTTTTATTAACTCCCCTGAGCTCCGGATGAAGCAGAGGCTGTACGTCCTTCTCATTACGTACAGACACACACACTGTCCCCGAAAACACACGTACTGAAACACACACACACACACACACACACACACACACGCAAGTGCAGTAAATTTGGAGACCAACATCTGCACAAACAGACCCAGACATACAAACACGCACGGCTCATCTTTGCCTCCCCACAGCAGAAGCCAGCAGAAAGTGTTGGATCTGGACTGGAGGGTTGATAGTTTCGGGTTTGGGTCTCAGGGGTCGGGGTGGGAACAGACCTGGTTTGGCTGCTCTCGGCTCTCTCTTTCTCCAAACATTCTTTCACATTTTTCTATCCTTCCCATCCGCCGTTTTGCATATTTACGCAGCATGTTCAGCAGGACTGTGCCAGCGAACTGCATTCAAAAACAATTTGCAGCAGTTATATGAGCATGATGTTTTCCTTAACTTTCAGTACCGGCTCTTTTTCTTAAGCTTTTGGTGCACACTGGATTGTCATGCATATAGCGTTTAAGCTGATATATAGCTGTTTCTGTTATCCCGTACCTTCTTCTACCTTCTTTTGCTGTCACTCCTGTCTTTTGATCTCATGTGAATACACTGCATCTGACGGAAATTTAATTATTTAAGAGCATATGCACAAGTCTTGGTGTATAAGACTTGCTGGCTTCCTTCTTAGTTTTAGAACATTTATTCTGGATTGATAGCACGAGGAGGAGATCTTTCACATAGCATAGCGTAGCTTCTACTAACATTTGAGAAGAACAAAGAAGATATGCTTTCATTATGAGAGTGAACGTGTGTCTGTGTCGTTCAGCCATGGAAATACTTCAAGGGAAAAATGCTGAACCAAGCTCAAACCAAGACCCTTACAGTGTCCATGAGAACGCACAACAAAGGTATGTGGGCTGGAGTCCCTGTATCAATGCATGTGTGTTCGTATGCATGTGAGTGTGCACGTGTGTGAAACTGTTTTCTGCATTTTTGTCTAATCCCATGTGCTGTTTTTGGTCACACATCATTGATTTCAAATTTAATGGAATGGTTGATAAATGACACAAAAACACAACTCATCACTCACTTGCACAGATGTACAAATGTCCCACACTTGAACACATGCATAGACAACACACACACACACACACACACACACACACACACACACACACACACACACACACTGAGAAGCAGCAGAAGGTAAGCAGATGAGGCCAGCAGAAGGAATTCATCAGACTGACGAACCACAGGCTCTGGAGCACTTCTTTCATCTATCTATCCCCTAGTCCTACATGAGGGGGCATTCAAACTTTATGTCACAGTGGTTACATGTTAGTGTACCTCCTCTTTTATTGCTTGTCTGACAATGTGACGAGCCAAGAGTACAAGACAAACAATGATTTATCAGCCACAGATACACATATGGTTCGCAGGCTGGGCGGAGCCAAACACCTTTACCCAAGGTGAATGTCCAGGTATTTGCAGTTTGTCTTGGAGCTGAAATGTGTAAAAATACAGCGACACTCATTCATTATGAATTAATCTGCCAGTTATTTTCTCAGATAATCATTTACTCTACGCAATACTATAAAAAAAAAAAAAAACCTGTCATAGTTTTCCAGAACCCAAAGTGACGTTTTCAAATTCCTTCTTTTACCGGACCAGAACCCAAAGATATTGAAAATACAAGTTTACTTTTGATGAGCTGGGACCGGTTGTCATCTGCATATGGCACCTTTGTGAACCAAGGTGCAGGTGAAAATTGTCTCTTTGGTGTAGATAGAAATATGCAGCTAAGAAATGCTTAACTTAAATATGACTTTAGGATGGGAGTCAGACAACTCTACCTTCAGCCAGAAGAAAATTTACAATCGCCTCCCATTTTGTCTTCACCCTCTCCCCCTCCAAGAATTTTTTTGTAATCCCTAATCGTTTCAGCTTTACCCAGTGTGCATGTGAATTACTTGCCTGACTGGTCCCTTGGGTAATTACGTTATTGTACCTTAATTAGAAAAACATGCTTCTGTACCTGGTTTCAAACAATGAATAAAAATAAACCTGACAGAATTATGACTCCTTTTGTGATTACTGCATAAAGTAAAACTGATTTTATCTTAAATGAGATAACAATACCACTCCTCCTCTCTCTCTCTCTCTCTCTCTCTCTCTGTCTCTCTCTCTCTCTCTCTCTCTCGAGCACACACACAAACATATTGTTACAATCAAACCTTGCCCTCTGCTACTTTATAAAAACATTATGGGAGTTAACCTTATTTTTGAGCCAAACCAGCACATTCTTGAAGTTGCCTGCTGTTGCAAAAGTGAGGGGAAAAAAGAAATGAAGGGCCGAAGGGGAGTCTTGATTTATTCTGCCTTATCAGTCCAACTCCACCTCCTGATGTGGAATGTATATGGGTCACATAAAAGGTAG